GATGCTGACTGTGCGGATGCAGCAAGAACGATGACAGGCTCGAGCACTGCAAGCACTGCAAAGCTGATCGAGCTGAAGGTGAAGCGGCAGATGAGCTCAGTGGAGGCCAGGACGTTCCACGTGGCGCTGCTCCTCGTGTGTCTCGCCGCGGTACTGGTCGTGCTGAGGGTCCCCAGAGGCCACTCCTCGCTCCGGGTGATCCGCCTGCTGCTGGGCCCCGCTCTCGCGCTGAAGTCGTGTTCGACTCTGCGGAGTGTCTGATCCGCAGAACAGGATCTTCAGCAGCTCATCGCGCTGTCGGAGAAGGCTGGTGGCACAAAAACTGCGAAGAAGTATCGCAAGCAGCTGGTTGTGTATGTTAAATCGGAGGCGCCGACACCCATTCAGCAACGAGCTTCTACAACTCATTCGCAGGTGGTGGCCCTTGATGACAAGCGACAGGTTGAAACGGGCCGTCTCGAAGAACGACTGGACCATGCAAGCAAACATAACAAAAACGTGTCACGTGTCTTGGACTTGGAGGTCCAGCAGGAGCTCGATGAGGCCGACGCGGAGAATAGGGACATCGTCGCGGAGTTGACAGGTGACCTATTGCAGCCCGAGGCCCCTCAGTCCTCCAAATTCTGCCTCTCCAGGCTGGTCAACAATGATATTGGGGCGGGGGGGCCGTTCGACACTGCGGCTTTCTTCGACGTCGAGGAGTACGAGGCGACCGAGGGTGACAAGCAGGATATCAAGCGCAGAATGGACACGACGCAAAAAGCGTTGCCGAAGTGCGCGAAGGACCTCTTCTCAGGTGCCCTGGCCTCGGTCGACATCATCAAGAAGGCGCTCAACGGGCACGAGAATAGAATGGCCACGAAGCGGCAGAAGGACGCAGGCGATTGCAGCAGTTCCAGAGCAGCCTCAGCTCCGCCAGGTGCGCGAGCGCCGAGCGCCTGGGAGGAAGGATGGCGCAGCCGAAGGTGAAACTGCTCCTCCTTGTGATGAGTTGGATGAGCCTGACGCTGATGCCGTGGCCAACGGTGAGCGCCAACCGGCTGGCGGAGGTCGAGCCTCTGCCGCTTGGGGGCTGCCCACCGACGTGCGATCGCGTGCGCGGCAGTTTGCGGAAGCCAGCGTCGCAGCCACAGGCAATGCGAAGCGTTCCAATTCTGAGCCCCCGCCTGGGTGTGATCCTAGGCGCCGTAGGGGGCGGCCAACAATAGATTCGGTAAAGCATGCGAGGAACCTTCCAGGCCCCGCTTGATCCTGAATTCCAGGTTTCGGCCCACGTGTTCCCTGGGGTTCTACAGTTTTCATGTTTTCCATTACCTCCGCCCCCCTTTGGGCACAGGGCGAGAGGCCTAGGCTCTTTGGGATGGTCGAGTGAGTTCACATGAATCTGGACCTCCAGGGGCCCTGTTATCTTCCACTGGGGGGGGAGGCCGTGGGCAGGGATTCGGATCTAGGCCTAGTGTGCAACGGGTTTATCAAGACACCTCCCCCACCTCCGCTCGACAACTTCTCCTTGGTCATCGAGACCTGTAATTGCACCAATTGGCGATCGACTGAGGAGTGGCTAAAGCTCATTTCAGCGCATATCATTACGGTACAGGAGCATCACTTGTGAGGTGACAAGGTGAGAATGAAGCCAGCAACTGGCCCATTAGGCATTCGTGGAAGGGCGCTTGTTTTCCGAAACGGCCGCTGGGCCTGGCAGAAGCACGCATGGAGGAGTGGCTATGTTGACGCGCGCGTGGCTTGGATTGCATCGTGCATTCGGCAGTGGAGCTGGAGCAGGAGTGCCTGTTCCTGGCAGAGTCCCAAGCTCCACTCCGCCCGCCATCGCCTCGCTCTGCCTTCGCGACAAAGAAAGACTGCCGGACCCGACCGCGACTCAGACCTGCTGAGTAGGAAATGGGGGGTGCTGGTGCGGATCTGGGGCGCGAAACGTTTGCGGGGGCTGACTTCAACAACCCCCCTGATGTTTCACAGGAAAATGCCCCCCCCCCCCAAAAAAAAAAAAAAAAAGCTCGGGGGGTCGGTTAGTCATGATTGCGAGGCGACGTGCTACACCGGATAATGTGACAAGTTGTTTCTTTGGCTATGATGTTGTCTCACCAGGTGCGTGCGCAAAACAATTCAATCGGTCGAAAGAGTTACGGCCACCGAGATTAAGACTCGCACCCCTGTGCAGATCACCCCTTTCCCGCGAGCGGCTGAACTGCATGCCCTGCAGTTCCGCCGACGCCCGCGTATCCCGACCGAAAGGCCTAACGGCCCGCCGCCTGCCCCTCCGTTTTGGGCTTCGGCGGTAGATTTCGGCAACCACGTGCTGGGCGCGGCTGAGAAACGGAAGGTTGGTCAAGTTTTGCGGAGGGTGGATGCTCTTTCTAAGACGCTTGCGAACGAAGCTGAAGTCGAACTGGCCCGAGTCTGCCAAATCGACCTGCACTATTATGGGAGCAGGGGGGGGGCCACCACAGCTCCAGTGGGCCCCCGCCTTTGATGCCGAGACTGACCACATTAGGTACCCAACCAAGTCAGCCACAAAATGGCTGAACAACAGAGTTCGGCAAGTTGTTGGTTCATGCCCGGCCCGCGGCGGACAAGGCGGCATTGCGAGGTCAATGGACTTCACCGCCCATGCTTGTGCTCGACGGGATCGGACAGTACCGCGGCGCCCTCGAGGAGGGGGCTACGCTGGCCTCGGAAGCTTATTCGCCCGTAGGAATGGACAGAGCTAAGGCGATGACGCGTCTTGCCAAGGTGGAGAGGGAATACGAGGATGTGAAGAACAAGACCCAGGCGGAACTAGGACATGAGGGAAAAACTGATTATAGTCGAACATAGACAACGGAGGCAGGAACGCCCAACTTGCTAGGAAGCCTGCTCATAGATGGAAGCCCACTACCACGTTGAGTGCTGGAGGCGCCGGCATGTCTGGCCCGTTGGCGCTCCTTCGCATGGAGTCTGAGCGATCCAAAGGCCTCTGGAAGGTGGCTCCTGAGCCTCGCCAAGGGGCGATGGTTTTCGGGGGTCCAAGAAGCCCTCCTGCGCCTGGATCCCGCCGTCGCAAAACCTTGGCGCGGGCGCCAAACGGCTCGGCGCGTCGCACCGCGACGGTGGGTGCGGCGCTCGACCCTGGCCGCGCGCAACGGTGCCCCGAGCCGACGGCGGCTCGGGCACTTCCCTGCGTCGTCGGCCTAGCCGAGCGCCCAGTGCGAACGCCCCAGGCCGAATGGCCACCAAGGGAGCGGTGGGCGGGCAAAAGCCGCACCGCAGGTGCCCCTCGCCGAGCGTGGCGGGACACCCCCACCAACCGTGCGCGCGCGACGCCCCTCCCAACCCGGGGCGGCGCACACGCCCCCTCGCGCGCTCGCCCATGCAAGCGGGGCGGACTGCTCGACGCCTCGCACCCAACGCTCGGACACGCGTCGCCCCGCGCCGCTGCGCGTCGCGCGGCGCCCCCTCCCGTTTGCCCGCGCGCGGGGGCTGGGGCGGGGGCGCCCGCCCCGCGGTTTCGTGACCGCGATTCAACGTTGCACGATGATCGCCCACCATGCGAGGAGTCTCTGCCAGGTACCCTGCCAGGTCTGCTCAGAGTGTTGATGGGCCTCACATGAAACGCCGCAGTTGGCTCACGGATTATGCCCTCTCAGTGGCGTCCCTCCTGTTCTCCCTGGTTGAAATCCTCTCCCACCCTCCCCTCCCGGATCAAGTTCATTAAAATCGCCTTGTTTATGAAGCCACCTAGGGGTTGGAGCCCGATAGGGTCGTTTGTTTCCCTTTTTAAGATTTGGGTTTGGCGAAGAAGGACATATGCCCAGCAGTGGGAACACTCCCACGTGATGCCATATTCTGCCGGTTCAAACTTCACCGCCGCCTGCGACGTCGCGCGGGGCCAAGCTTTGAAATCCGAAGTGGGAACCTCGAAGGGTGAAGTATCAGGGACAGCATTGTAGGACGCGGCCAATTCTACGAAACATTCCAGCTGGATGGACACGCTCTTCAATCAATGTAGAGTGTTTGGGTTGCCGACGGCGATCGCGCAGCTCTGTGTAAACGCGTGCCGCAGCGCGCGATGCCTTTGTCTGTCGTTCATGGTGCCTGGCCCGCGTCATGCACTGCTTGGCGCGATTGCAGGTTGCAGCTCCGCGACAACTGTTGCGCGGATTTACCTGGTTGGCCCCTTTGATCACGCGGTTGCCAAGCTGCCGAAACACGCATACATTGACCAACACATCGATGACTTTGGGCTTAACTGCACCGGGGGGGGGGGGGGCATGGGCATGGGCGCGGTGAAACGCAGCGCGGTCTCTTCGGCAGCCCTGCGCTGTGCCGAGCTGTTGCGTCGGAGCTTGGTTGCGGGGTCTCACGCGAGAAGGCGAACTTGTTTGTTCCGAAATGGCCGTCGCCAAATAATTGCGCGAGTTTCCAGGTGACCTCGCAGGCCCTGATATGGGCTGTGAGACCAACATGGAAGTTGATGCCACTTTTGGGCGTCCGAAAAGGATCGCGAAACGGCCCGCCCAATTCGTCAGTCGGCTCAAGATTTTCGAGAAACCGACTAGGAATATCAGAGCTATGGGGTACGCGTTCTCGCCGCAGGTAGGCCCCCATGCATTTAATGCGGCGCTGCTGCGCATGGAGTCTCCGATAAGAAAGCACATTTAATACGGCAGTCTGCGGGCAGGACGCGCATGCCACAGGCCGCGGGCAAATCTCTCACCAATCTCTTGATTCGGGAGGACGTTCCGTCCTGGAGATGCGAGGCGGCCCCGATCATCTGATTTCCCAAGGAGGTCAGGGCTGCTTACAGCCACTCGTACCCGCACGAGCTCTCTTTCCAAGAGCTCAGGCTGGCTCGATGCCGGGCACAAGGGGGAAGATGGCAAGGGGAGGGAGAAGGTTCAGGGTCCATTTTCAGCTTTGGAATTATCGCTGGGAAGGATTTACTGGGGGATGAGGGATTTGGCCACTTTGCTGAGCGATTTCGGGAAGGAGGTGGCATTGACTTATGCTTCGCCGTCGCCGATGAAAGGCATGCTGTTCTGCGCGGTGCTTGGGTCTCTGGTGCACCTTGCGAGCAGCAAAGCGACTATGGATTGCACCCGATTGTGATTTGATTCGACGTCTTTCGAGCGAAACTCCGATCCAAACGATCTACTCCGCTCGGGAGAGGATGCGTGAAATCGCTGGTCTGCGGTGCGATCTGGACTCCGAGTCGCGCGCTAGAGTACGGGTATCAAATCTCATCCACTAAGTGTGTACTGCGTGAGGTATGCGACGACCCAGAGTTCCACAGGTTATGGACATGTTCGAGGTGCCAAGGTCAATGGTTGGAAATCGCTGCGCAACCGGACATCGACCGTGCCTTAGCTCTGCAGGACCCAATAGAGAAGCTACTTTACAATCGCGCAATTTGTCCTCACCCAGGGGACACTTTTTCGAGAACAGCACTGTGTGGTACGACTGACGGGCGCTGGACCGATGAGTCCAGAGGTGACGAAGATTTCCAGGGAACCAGTTTCATCGATGGAAGCTGCAGCCGACACATCATTCCCGAACTTCAACGAGCTGGATGGAGAGTTGTGCAGGTGCAGAATGGAGGACAGGTTGAAAGCAAGCTGTTCGGACCCGTCCCCGCCCCTTTGGTAGCCTCCCCCCAAGCCGGCGAACTTCAGAGTTCAGCTATGGCTTCTATCCGGCTTGTGGGAAATAGTTCCACCTACTCCAACTGCCTGAAGGTAGGTAAAGAGAACAAGCAGCCACAGGAGCAGCAGCTTAGCTGTTTAGAACGTGCGCAGGCATGATGCAGTATGTCTTGCATGGGGGCCAACTGAGCGCGTGGTGCCGTCAAGGTTAAAGCCCATTTCGACCCCAACATAGAAGGCCCATATTTTTCTGAGCGGTGGCGTCGGGTGGGTAATTCGGCAATCGACGCTGCCGCTCGGGCTGGAAGTGCAATGCACCCGTTTTGGTCTGAGAACGAAGAAGCGGAGCTCCAGCGTCGAATTCAAGTTGCGAACCAGGTTTGACATCTTGAGCCCTCGCTTCTCCCACTCTGGCCGACGCTCGACCTTTTTAGATGTCGAGTTCATCCGACCCCTCCTGTCGATTCTGGTCCTTCGGTCCCGATTCTTCCTGGTCACTAGTGGCAGAGATTCCGTGGATTTGTTTTGTGTTTGATCTGCAACAAGGTGAAGGACGGAGCCAGTCCCTGCTGTGTGTACGAAAGTGCACAGTTTGTCTGGATCCGCCCTCACAGCTCTGAATCATAGAAATTGCATCTCGCTCGAATGCAGTGACAGCGCGTTGCTCACGGTAAGCCTCAAGTGTAGATGCTACTCGAGCCACGGACAAATTCGAGGACTGTTCAAAAGCTGCAGCGATCACCCAACCCGTCACACCCAGGACAATCGGAAGCTTCTTGCGAAGGCTAAGCATCCTACGCGTCCTGGGGTTACAGTCGAGGCGGGGCCTTGGGCGATCCCCTGATTTCTTTCCTCGTCGCCGCCCCTGTTAGAAAATCCTCCTCCTCCTCCTCCTCCTCCTCCTCCTCCTCCTCCTCCTCCCTCCTCCCTCCCCCCCTCCTCCCTCCTCCCTCCCCTCCTCGAGGCCCTCGACGCCTCGAGGCCCCGAGGCCTCGGGGCCCCGAGGCCACGACGGACCGCCCGTGGCGGCGTGCGCGGCGCCTTGCTCACCGCGGGGCGGACGCGGCTGGGCTCGGCGGACTCCTGGCACGGCCCCCGAGGGCGCCGCGGTGGCGCGGCCCTCGCCATCTCGCTCGGACGTCCAAGTTCCTCTGGTTGGGGCTGAGGCGACCCGTCCTCCTCCTCCTCCTCCTCCTCCTCCTCCTCCCCTCCTCCTCCTCCTCCTCCTCCTCCTCCTCCATCTCCTCCTCTCCTCCTCCTCCTCCTCCTCCTCCTCCTCCTCCATCTCCATCGCCATCTCCTCCTCCTCCTCCTCCTCCTCCTCCTCCTCCTCCTCCTCCTCCTCCTCCTCCTCCTCCTCCTCCTCCCCTCCTCCTCCTCCTCTCTCCTCCTCCTCCTCCTCCTCCTCCTCCTCCTCCTCCTCCTCCTCCTCCTCCTCCTCCTCTCGGGAGGGGGTCCAGCGGAAAGGGGGGGCTACAACAGATCTGGCGCAACAGCTTTGCAGGGTTGCAATGAAGCTGGGGCGCGCAGCGCATCCCTGTGCGCAGCCGTGCTGCTGCATCCCCGCGTGTCGTACAGTGGGGGGCGTTGACCTAAGGAACCCCACATAAGGAACGAGGCCCCTTTTCTCCAGAGGTTGAACTTCGATTTCACATCGAAAACCTAAGGAAAACCTGAGGCAAGCTGTGAAACACTTAAGGAGCACGGAGCCCCTCCCCAACGAAAAGGGTTCCTTCTTCAGGGCCCCGACTGTACACTCGTTGCAAGTCAGCGCAGCACACTCTGGCGCAAGGCGCTTGCGATACGAGTGCCCCAAATCTATCGCACCACCCTCTTTCAGCTGGACCCCCTTCTGGGTCACGAGGAATTCCCCGTGCTCTGTTCGGCGTCGTGCGTGTATGTTTTCCCAAGACGAAGGAAGGGGGGTGGACAAGAGAGAGGGGGGGGGGCACAGGAGAGAGAGAGAGAGGGGGCGGGGGAGGGAAAGGAGAGAGGAGGGGACAGGAGAGAGGGGGAGGGGGAGAGGAGAGAGGAGGGGAGGTGGGGAGGGGGGTCCGGGATCATCATCATCATCATCATCATCATCATCATCATCATCATCATCATCATCATCATCATCATCATCATCATCATCATCATCATCATCATCATCATCATCATCAGCATCAGCATCAGCATCATCATCATCATCATCATCAGCAGCATCATCAGCATCATCAGCATCATCAGCATCAGCATCATCAGCTCATCATCATCATCATCATCATCAGCATCATCATCAGCATCATCATCATCATCACCATAATCGTCACATCAGCATCATCATCATCATATCATCATCATCATCAGCATCAGCATCAGCATCAGCATCAGCATCAGCATCAGCATCAGCATCATCATCATCATCATCATCATCATCATCATCAGCATCAGCATCAGCATCATCATCATCATCATCATCATCATCATCATCATCATCATCATCATCATCATCATCCAGAGCGACCCAGATCGACGGGACTGGCTGGAGGCCACTACAATCATCCCTAAAGTGCGATCTGCAGTTACCCCCGACCGCCCCCAGCCCTGATGGTTCGGGGCTCTCTGACTTCCCCCAGACTGGCATCCCGTCCCGCGCATGCAGCTCGTCGACGGCCCAGGGGGCTTCCCCCATGGGCGAGGAAGCCCCAGAGGCCGACGAAGCGGCCAGGACTTCGCGACGAGACCTCGAGGAGTGGTTTTCGGGAATGTCCTGGAGGAGGGGAACGTCCACGAGGTGGGGGGGGCGCGAATCATGGCTGGCGGCACGTGCGCGGCCCAGGGGTGGAAAGGCCAGGGGACGCATCGAGACAGGAGGAGGCGGCATGATATCTGGGGAGATATCATGCCCCCCGCCATGATTCGGGTGTCGCTAGAAGTGCCCCTGGCCCAAGGTGCCCCCAGCTTTTCGCTCTCTTTTGGAGCCCCTGGGGCCCTCTGGGCCTCGTGAGGGGTGCCCTGGAGGCCGTCTGGGCCACCCCGAGAATCCTGAGGGCACCTTGGGCCAAGAGTACTTCTATAGAGGCCTCCTAGATGGGGTCCGAATAGATGGGGTCGGAGGATCGCGCCGCATCGGCGATGCATCGGCGACGTGTCGGCGATGCATAGGCAACGTCGGCGTGGAGAAAGTCGGGCTCCACATCGAAGCCGCGTCGCCGACCCCGTCTGCTCCGAGCCCATCCAGGAGGCCGAGATTCCTCGTCCTCGTCCTCGTCTTCCTCCTCCTCCTCCTCCTCCTCCTCCTCCTCCTCGTCCTCGTCTTCCTCCTCCTCGTCCTCGTCCTCCTCTTCCTCCTCGCCCGAGGCCCCTCGAGGACGAGGACACCCGAATGATGTCCACCCCCACACCCCTACGGGCCGCTCCCGGGCTGCGGGCCCCCGCTCCGGTCTCCGGCGGCCGCTCGGGGCGGTCCGGGGCGGCCCGGGCAACCCCCGGGATCGCCCTCGGCGAGGCGCGGCTGCCGAAGAGCCTCCCGAGGCCGGGCAGCCTCGGGGAGCCCACGAAAACGCCCGGAAGCCTCGACCCTCGAGCCCCCGACGAGGGGAGCGACATCGGGGAGGCAGTGCTGGGCTTCCTGCGCCCTGGGGCCTCCCCGCCGCCGCTCCCCCCTCCGGGGCCCCGTCCGCCCCTCCTTCAGGACGGAACCGTCGGGGTGCTCCAGCTTGAGCTGGCCTCGGGGCGGACCGGCTGCTCCCCAGGCAGGAGCAGAGCCAAGACGTCTCGGGCCCAAGGTTTTTCCCTGGTCGCGGGGAGGCGGGCAGGGGAGACGGGCGGAGGCTGGGAAGCGGTGACAAAGGAATGAAGGAAGGGAGGCCCAGACCCCCTCGAGTCATGGCAAGAATCACGACGGGAAGTTGTTCGCTACTTTCGGCCTCGGGGGGGCGGTTACCGGACTTCGGGACCGCCAAAAAACGACTCGGGATGAAGAAACGGTCGCTGGGAAGGGGTCCAGGACTCCGAGGGTCGACGTTGCGAAACAATCACGACGTCGGGCGTCTGGGAAGCAGGGAGGGACGCGAGGAGGCTGCAAGGCGGGGGATGCATCGATGAAGGGGCCCCAGGACACACACACACACACAGAAATGCACACAGATCATGATATTCCCCACATTTTCCTATGTTTTCTGGGTTGTTGTTTTCCCCCCTAACTCTATCTTTTCTCAAATTTTCGGGGGAATCGACGATGAAGTGTGTCTGTGTGTGTTTTGTTTCCCTCCTGGATCGAGCGCCGCCGCCCGGGGATCGATCGTCGGGGGCCTCGGCAGGCGGCGGACACGGATGTGATCCCAAGGCCCCGAGGATCCACTACGTACCTGCCGAGGGCCCCGAAGATCGACTCCCAAGGCTGTGTCAATCAGTAAGCCAGGCGCCAGGCAACGGCGCATCGGCAGGGAATCGACAGGAGCACGATTGGCCCACAGATCCATAAACCAATATAGCAGGAGGAAAGGCAACAGCGCTGCTGACCTACACTCTATTGAACAAGGCTGTGTGTGATTATGCAGAAATCTTCGCCTCGGAAGGGGCTGAGGGGCATGGGGCAGGGTGGGAAGGGGAAACTGGCCACCCACAGCGCCTCACATGGCCCCAAACGACCAAAATACCCACCCCGACCCGCCCGCCGGGGCTGCGCTGGATGGATCGTCGGGGTCGCGCCCGAGTTGTCGCGGAATCGGACCGCCTGGGGTCGCTGATCGGGCGTGCCCCCTGCAAGCCAGAGCTGCAGTGTGATTTATGATGTTTGTTGTGCCTTGGCAAAAAGAGCCCCTTGAGAGTAACGGCAGCAAGTGGCGCACGTACGTGCCACGCACACACACACACACCAGATCACACCCTTGAAACCCAGTCACGAACTGACTGGGCGCCCAGCTCGCAGGCCGTCAAGGGGCAGCAGGAGGCAGCAAAGGCGCCCCCACTAGGGAACAACTCAAAGGCGGCCTATAGGCCCAGTGCCACCTCCTAGACAGGATGGTGTTCACTCAGTGCCGTCATTTCTCTATGTCGGGATAGTGCTCGTTTCGGATCTGACTTTCCCGGTGTAGTAGCGATCCGAACGTAATTCCCACCAGCTTGTGCGTGAGTGGTTTAGCGAGCTTTCTCTGTCCTCAACCCCCCAACCCCCCTTCTTCCCCCTCGGGGAGGGGTTTACCCCTCCCCCTACCCCCTCCCCCTGGGCCTGCAGAGGGCGGGCCGAGCGTAGTCAGGGGGGTCTTTTTGGACTCCTGGGAGGGCCAAAAAACGACGACCCTCACGAGGATTCTGGCCCCGTCGGGGGGATACAGTTTGGCCCCTCTGCTCTTCTTGGCAGCCAAAATCGTTGATTTTACTAGGGTTTCGGCCCCATGTTGGCGTCCTGAGGGGGCCGCGCGCATCTTTCTTCATAGCAAAATTATTGTTTTTTCGACGGTTGTGGGCTCATTTTGTTGTTTTCAAGGGGCAGCTCTCACTTGCGCTTCTGAGGAGGTCCCCAGAAGCCCCAAGATGGCCCCAAGAGGCTCCCAAGAGGCTCCCAAGAGGCCTCCCAGAGGCCCCCCAGAGGCCCCCCAGCGGTCCCAAGAGGCCCCCAAGAGGCTCCCAAGACGCCTCCAGAGGCCCCAAGAGGCCCCCCAGAGGCCCCCCAGAGGCCCCCAAGAGGCTCCCAAGAGGCCCCAAGAGGCTCCAAGAGGCCCCCAAGAGGCCCCACGAGGAGCCCTACTGCTACTGCTACTGGTATTGCTACTGCTCGAACGACTCACACCAGGACGAGGGGCCCGACCGACTCACACCACGATTAGCTCGAGGCCCCCAAGAGGCCCCCAAGAGGCTCAAGAGGCCCCACGAGGAGCCCGACCGACTCACCCCAGGACGAGGGGCCCCAACGACTCACACCACGAGGAACCCGAACGGCCGCCAAGAGGCCCCCAAGAGGCCCCACGAGGAGCCCGACCGACTCACCCCAGGACGAGGGGCCCCAACGACTCACACCACGAGGAGCCCGAACGACTCACACACAAGGAGGGGCCCGAGCGACTCACACCAGGACGAGCGGCCCGAACGACTCACACCACGAGGAGCCCCAACGACTCACACGCAAGGAGGCGCCCGAACGACGCACACCAGGACGAGGGGCCCGAACGACTCACACCACGAGGAGCCCGAACGACTCACACACAAGGAGGGGCCCGAACGACGCACACCAGGACGAGGGGCCCGACCGACTCACACCACGAGGAGCCCGAACGACTCACACACAATGAGGGGCCCGAAGGACTCACACAAGGAAGGACGAGGGGCCCCAACGACTCACACCACGAGGAGCCGGAACGACTCACATATCTGCAACGCACAGGGAACCGAACTCTTGCATTATCTCTGGAGGCCCTCCCGTGACACTGTCAACCTGCACGATTAGGGGAGGCCTTCTTCCTGCTTTGGTTTTTCCTTTCTTTGATGGACAAGGGCGGCTGCAATTCAGCCAGCACGTTCCGTCACGCACGACGCGCCTACTGCGCACGAGCGCGGTAGACGAAGCATCGGAGGTTCGACTTCCAGGCCTGGCGAGGGCCCGATCGACCTCCAAAGAAAAAATCGCCTGACCTCCCACCCCCTTGGCATCGAGGGGACAGGTTCAAACTCTGTCCGTGTCTTCATTACCTAACATCGAAGACTGGTAGGTTTCTAGTGGGGTAAAAAGAGAGCAGCAGATGACTCCACAGGGGGGTCTGGGCGGGTGCCGGACAGGGTGCCGCAGAAGTCGTTTTAAGCAAACAGTCGCACACTTCGTGCTCTTCGACCTCCCAGAACTCCATTCCCGGGCCACATTCTGAATGCCCGGAGCCAACT